TAATATAAATATTGTTTGTTCTGTACTGGTAACAAAATTATAGAAAGATTCAGAAATATTATTTGATTTCACGTAAATTTCAACTTCAAGCACCTTCAATTTCGCACAACCTCGACTTCAAACACCTTCAACTTACAATTTTTGGCACTGCTTCAGAAGTTCAGATGTAAATATGCCGGGCTTGTCAATAAAATTTAAAATCTTAGTTTCCACTCTGATCACTTTAGGACACAAGACACTAACAGCAATGGAATGCACAAACGCCCTTGTCATAAGTGAGGGTATGTGATTCTACCTTATCACAACTTTGAAAACTTATAAACCAGGCCAAACACAATTCATACTTCACAACCACTATCAAGTGTACATATAATTTGATAATATGCAAACCTCAACTAAAATTCAGGGAGGGGGGACCTAACTAGAATTAAAATCAGTAGTATGAGATCAAAGTTAAAGTTACACTTAACTTCAAAGTAATATATAATAGTTTTAGGGGACCTTCAATTTCCTACACCAGCTTCCACACCTCTGATTCTAAATTCCCTTTCATTTTCATTGCTCATATATAATTTTGACAACAATATCAGTTTTTTTTTAATTTACTATAAAATATAATTGATTTACGTTTACTTTGTTTATATCAACATTTTAAATTGATTAAATAACAGGATCCATTGAGGCATTTTACCAAACAGTTAGTATGTAATTGTAGGGAATATTTCAAGCATTACCCATAGCTTGAACCCCACTGTGATCATACACTAAAGTACGGTGGCGTCCAAAGGGAAAGAAGATAGAGCAAAAGAGTCGCCAACAAGTTTTAGGAACTTGTAAACCGTTCACGAGGTGAAGGTTACACCCCTTAACGATCTAGGAGATCGTCAACTCCAATAGGTCTGGAACCATGACTGGTAGTTCGGGGATGAAGGTACAAATCCAACCTAAAAGAGATTGAACCTACCCTAATAATAGGCCTCTACTTTATTCTGATCGTACTCATGTGCGCTTTCTGACTAATATACAATCAATAGGATTAACCCTAAACTTGTTTATCTATGTTGGTTGAATATTAATGCACAAATAAATCTATTATTGGCGATCACTTGAATTATAATCATATTAACCCTAAACAAGATTATTAATTATCTTATTAAGCGTGATTACAAGTACCAAATTCCCTTTAAATATGCATAAAAGGCGTGATCAAGCAATAACAATGAAAATAGCATCAAGCAACATAATAATCATAATAACAATAATAATAATCATCAAAATAATAATAATAATAATATTCATTATCATGTTAAAGCATAATACTAACAGCAAGACCCTAGGCTTGATACTAACAAGATTATATTAATAAAAAACCCTAGCATGTCACTAAGCAATAAAAATCAAATCTTTAACCCTAACATAATACTAACAATCATAAATATTAGGAAGAACATAAAAGACATCATACTTTTAATCATATCTGGCATTAAAGTTACCCTAGACATGATACTAGGAATTTATTGTTGTCACCCTAAAAATCAAACTAAGGAAAACATCCTAACATGATACTAGGAATCATAATAACCTAAGCATGATTTCTACATCATAATATCAATTAAACCATTAAAGTACTTACTTGGATGCCTCGTATCTCTTTCTAATAACAAAATATTCACGTTAGTAACTTCAAGGAAAATAATAAACAACAATTAAATTAAATGATTGAAATAGAGATTTGGGACCAAACCCTCAGAAATTAAAACCTTTCACGTCTAGGGCGAAAGCAACTTCGAATTATGCTAGGTGTGTCTAGTGCTAATGTATGAGGAATTGTGTTTGTAAAAGGGTTGGTTTAGAGAATCAAGAAATTCTTAATGAGAGTTGATGATTGAAAAAGGGGAGATATGACCTCTATTTATAGAGAAAAAAGAGGGTCGAAGAATAAGAAGAGAATCCGAATTCGAATCGAAATAGAACTCGATGGACAGCAGTTTTTGCGGATTTTGTTTTTATCATATCTTTTGATCCAAAAGTCTAAATAAGGAATATGATATGTCGTTGGAAAGCTCTTGAAGTATACTTTCCAACTCAATTAGAATCAGATTAAAATCTTTTGTAGATAAAAAGATATGGCCGAAATAGTAGGACGATATCAGTTTTGGATAGAATTTCATATCTCATTCATATCTTTTTCATTATAGCTCGGATTTAATATTATAATATATCATTGGAAAGATAATTTCAAGATCTATCCAACCATATAAAATTTGGATAAAGATTATGAGACACAAAAATAAAATCTGATTGTCTTTTAACATCTTTAAATTCAAATAGAATTATGATTTAAGAAAAAGGAAAGTTTTAAAAAAGGAAAGTTTTTATTTAACTCAAATTCTTTAATCTTATCTTTTCAAAAAGGATAATTAAGATCTTTTAAAAACTTATAGAAGCTTCTAATCAATCCTAATTAGTTTAGGAATAGGATTAGACCTTTGGACCCTCCACATGATCATTGGGTCGTAGGTAAAATCCGGTTTAGGCCCAGTTTAGTATTTTGGCCATAACTTCTTCATTATTCATCGGAATTGGGCTTATAATATATCGTTGGAAAGGTCTTTTCAAGCCCGATCAAACTACACCATTATTGGACCCATATCATGGACCAAACTAAACTGGAATGCAAGTTTTTCAAAAATAAGGTAAGAAAAAAAATATTTTCAAAAACAGAAAGAAGAGATATTTTAATAAAAACATCCTCATCACTAGACTTTTCACACTTTCGCTTCGTTCGATAATCAAATGACATGAAAGGTATTCATCACTGGGTTTGGTTTTGGGGAGACACATTTGGGTGTCTATAGTAATCAAAAAATTATCTTACTTTAGAAGATATTACAAAGTAATAGACTACAAAATACCTGATGTAATGTTTATGTTATTAAATTTACATCAATTGAAACACTTAAAAAAAATAAAAATAAATCAATAATCGGTATCAAACAATCTATAGTATAATTTAATCAAGTTCATATATTATGTCTGTAAAATATAGCACAAATTCGAGCACCAAAATTTTCTAATAAAAAACTAGAAATCTAATTCTTCAAAATTCAAACAAAAAATGCGAGTAATACATGAGTAAAAAACTAAAAAAAAAACCTAGAAATTTGATTGAACAAAAATCGCCATGTTTACTTGTAATTTTCATACAATTTGAAGCGAAATCAGCAATATATCCAACACCATGGACGATTACCAATTTTATGGCAGATTTTGAGTAGATTACCAACTATCAATGGTGATTTTTATAAAAAAATGGCGAAGAATTGAAAAGCTTCTTGAGGTCTACAAAATTTCAATATCGTGAAACATTCATATTTGTTACAAAGAATATTAATTGAATTTTGATGCATACTCATACTCATTTGGATACATGATCAAAAATATATTGTCAGTTATTTATTTAACTTTGAATTTCATTATATACTTATTCTTATGTAAATATATGGTCAATCACATTTTAATAGTTGCTCATATAAATTTTGTATAACTTTAATCTATTATAAATGTTCATTTTAGATGGACTTCATGTTCATTTGTAGAATGATTAATGTTCAAATTATAATAATTAAAAATTTAAAACTAAAGATGAATTATCAATTTGATTATGGAATCGAAACCTCAATTATCATTTAATATTGCTTATTTCAATTCATTAATTAAAATTGTTATTTAGTGAATTTGACTATACATGAAATGTAATCTATAGTATATGTTCATTTTAATATGAATTCATGTTCAATTGTAGAAGGAATAATATTAAAATTACAAAAATCACTAAAAATAAAGATATATAAATTTGATTTGCAGAATTAAAACGTCAATTATAAAGTAATATTACTTAATTCTTTAATTAAAACGGTTATTTGGATAGTTTTAGATAGTAAATTTAAGATATAGTAAATGTTCATTTAAATGGAATTCATGTTCATTTGTAGAAGGAATAATATTCAAATATAAAGACAAATTATGAATTTATTAATGAAATTGAATTGTCAATTACTAATTATTATAACTTAATTCTTTAATTAAAACTCTTAAATTATTTGTTTAATTTTGGATAGTAAATTAAACCTATCCTAATTATTCATTTTAGATGTAATTTATTTTTATTTATGGTCATTTTCATATTGATATAATTTAATTAAACTTGATACATGTTTATTCTCATATATATACGTGTTAAAGGATATTCATTTGAAATTTAACACATGTTCATTTTCATATTTAAAGATGTTCATTTGCAATTTAATACTTGTTCATTATCGTATCTAAACATGTTCATTATCACATTAAAGATACTGAGTATTTGTTTTTATTTTAATACTTATTTTTTTTATCAAAAAAATGCTCAATTAAATTTTAATATTTGTTCATTATTGTATTAAAAGATGTTTGTTTGAATTTTAATACTTTGTTCATTTTTATGTTGAAAGATGTTCATTTAGATTTCAATATTTGTTCATTCTCATACTAAATTATTTTTTTTCTAGCAATGTGTTTAAATTTGTATTTGTAAGTGCTATTATATTATTCTGTTTTGTTTATAGTGTTCGTTTATTATTACTAGTGTATTCTCTTAAAAAATTCTCTTATTAGATAGGATAGATAATGAAATAAAAAGTTGAAGACGATAATGAATATATTGAGAAAAAAAATATGTATCAAGAAAAGCACACAAACATTATACAACAAGGAGGATGATTCTATATAGTAGTATCTTTTATTAATTCATACTAAATGTATTAATCAAAAGGCGATGTTTAATTTTTAAAGCACATATGTAATATGTACATTATTTAAGTTTAATTTTTTTTTAAAAATTTTCCCTTGAAGTTTTTATTTTTATTTATTAACTTAAGTATATCTACATTAAAAAAATTAAGAAAAAAGTTTCCTTTTATGCTTAAGAAACAATGAGTATATTCTAGTAGAAAAAAGTAAAAAGCCACCGCTCAATTGCCACCGGTTTTTAAGAATCGGTGGCAAAAAACAGGGGAAAAATGGGCGGGGATATTATTGCCACCGGTTCAAACCGAACCGGTGGCAAAAATATTATTCCCACCGGTTCAAAACCGGTGGCTTACTAATATAAAAAAAACCGGCCCTTTTTTTTTTGGAAGACAAAACCAGCCCTTTAAATACCCCAAACCCTACAATTTGACCCACCATCAGCCGTTTCACACCCACCTCCCCTCATTCTCTTTCTCTCTCCTCGATCAGTCGTTCAGCTCGGATCCCCTCTCCCCTCTTCTCCTTCATCCTCTCCTCCTTCTCTTTCTCTCTCCTCTCTCCCCTCTCCTCCTTCTCTTTCTCATCTTCTTCGATCTCCACCACCACCAATTTTTCCACCACTTCGAAGACCACCACCGCAACAATAACACCAAGAACACATGCATGAGCAACAACGACTTGAATCGAGGTTAGGATTTGATTTTAATCGATTTTTATTTGACTTTAATTCGATTTTAATTTGATTTTACTTTGGTTTTAAACGGTTTTAATCGATTTCTTCTAGGTTTTTAAATTGATTTTTTTTGGGGTTTTTGATTAGAATTTTTCTGGGTTTTTGAATCGAAGTTGTGGGTTTTAAATTCGATTTTTATTCGGTTATGATCAATTTTTCCTGGGTTTAGTCGATTTTGAATTTTTTGAGTGTTTTCATCGATTTTAATTCGATTTTTAATTGATTTTAATCGATTCTAAGTCGATCTCCTTATGGGTTCTATTCGATTTAATTCTGGGTTTTTTTTTTCTTTTTTTTTGAGTTCATGAAAATCAATTTGGTTTTTTGAGTTCAATTTAATTCTCATTTTGTTTTAAATTCTCGTTTTGAAAATCAATTAGATGTTTTTTAGTTCGATTTAATTCTCGGGTTTTTACCAATTTCTGGGAATTTTGTTTGATTTTTTTTTTTCTGGGTTTTTTTTTTCTTTTTTTTTTCTAGGTTTTAGTTTTCTAGGTTATTTTTCTTGGTTTTTGTTTAATTTCTGGGTTTTGTTTATATTTTTGTGTGTTTTTTTTGGGTTTATTTAACCGATTTAAATCAATTTATGGGTACCATGCATACTGTTCTGGTTTTTATTTTTTTTTCGCAGCTTATTTATTGTATTTAATCGTTTTTTTTTTGTTTGATGCAGGTATATTGATTTAGATGTAGATGTTAAATCGAAGAATAAAGATGCAGGATTATTGATTTAGGTGTTATATGGGTTGTTTTTTAATTTTAATGTTGTAATTTTTTTTTGGATTTTTTTTTGTAAATTTTTTTTTTTTATTTTAATGTTGGAATTTTAGTTTTGTGTAATTTGATTAATTTAGTTCTTTTAAATTGGAATTGTTGTATGAGTAAATTAGTTGTAGTTATTAATTTAGTTTTTTCACTCTTAAAAAGTGTACAATTACTAGATACTGATGAATATATATGTGTTTTTATGGAGTTAGGATAATAATTAGGGACTAAAGTTTTATACTTTTCACCTTTTGCTACCCAAACTTTTTTCTTTCACCGTTTGGGACCTAGGAAAGAATTTTAAACAAATAAATTAACTATGGTTAAGCATTGCGACCCACTAATTGTTTAATTTACTATTTCCAAAAAATAGGTAAGTTGTGTTTACCCCAAAAAAAATAAAAAAGGTGCCTTTTCAACTTGACTTGTTCATCAGAATACTCTTGTTCATCATCAACCTCCCTTTGAAGAAAAATTGAACCTTGCTTTGAAGCTTATTTTGGTGCAGATAATTAGCAGTGTGTTAAGCATCTTAACATAAGTAAGTTGTCTAATCTTGTACAAATTTTTTACTTCAATTTTTTTTTTTTCTTATAAATTGTTACTAGGTTTAGGGATTTTTTGTAAAAAAAAAAATTATGGGTATTCATGAATTACGATGCTACAAATCTAAAATTAATGATTAGTGTTGCTATAATGTTGAATTTATTTGTTTTTTCTTGTATTTTAGAATGTAGAATTTCAGTTTGGGGTCAATTTATGCCCACCAAATTTATGCTCTGCAATTCTCGGACACAGTATTAGTAGAATTATCAAATTATATACTACTAAGTAGTAGAATTATCAAATTATCAAATTATATTGAATTTGTGCTCTGCAACTCTCGGACACAGTAGTAGTAGTTTGGCAAGATAACATCCACACCACTAGTAGAATTACCAAGTATATAGTTTTGCAATGAAAGGTTGAAAGTTAGGCAACTAGTTTACTACATTCTCATATTTAATTTCAATTAAAGAATTCAATGATCAAATGAAGAACTACTTAACCGTTGCAATTGGTTTTTATTCTTATTAAATATCTAGTCAATTGAACTTTATAGTAATTTAGTTTCACTATTTTTGCAATTGGTTTTTATTCTTATTGAACATCTGGTTAATTGAACTTTATAGGTATGGAGGTACCACTATGCATTATTCTTCATCATGGTGGAAAGTGGGAGAACACTCCAGAGTTCAAATATGTTGGGGGAAGTATCAAGTTGATCAATGACATTCCTTCTGATTTTGATGCAAGTTATTTGAAGGCTTTCATTACATCCTTAGGGTATAGAAACATAATTAAGCTACACTACTGTGATCCACTTAAGAGTATGCGTAATGGTGTTATATTTTTGGGATATGAGGATGTAATATTCACTAAGTTCAAAAGCTTATTGTATGAGTACGGAATGATAGATGTCTTTATAGAACATGATGATGAGGGGTATGTTCAGAACTTGACTAAAGCAAAGTATGGTAATGTCCCGAGCCTTGAGGACATAGTACAAGGTGAGTTGGATGGTGCTATGACTGAAACTGATTTTCTTGCCACTCAAGAGAATGACGTTGTTGTTCTTAATGAGCCAATTGCTAGTGTTGTAACTGAGAATATTGACTATGATGAAGAAGGTTCTGACAATGAAGATGATGAAGTGAAGGAAGCTAGGTTTCAAATTAAGGTTGATAAAAAAGCAGAGGAAGACCATGTCAATGAAGAAGACTCCTTGCAAAGACTTGCTGAATGAAAGGGTAAGATATTAGAAGATAATGGAACTGATTATGAAGATGAATCCTCTGATTTAGATAGCCCTTCAAATTCAGAAGATGAAGACGATTGTGGGTACCTATTACCAGAGTATGCAATTAAAAGTAAACCAAGAAAGTCATCACCTGGTGGACAATTTCTTCATAGAAAAAATCAGCAACAATGTCCCTTTTTCCTAGGACAACAGTTTGAGGATACATCAGAGTTCAGAACTGCACTAACCAACTACTCTGTGTCAATAGGAAGAGATTTGCAGTACACTAAAAATGATGCTAAAAAACTAGGAGTGAAGTGTAAGGAGTAGAGTTGTCCTTTTTACATTTGGGTTTCATTAGAGAAAGGGAAGAAAACCATGACTGTTAAGACATTGAAACCACAACACAATTATGGAAGGGTATCACAGGTGAAGAAAATGAGAGCTAAATGGATTGCAAAAACATATCACAATAAGTTCAAAGTCAACCCATACTTGAAGTGTCAAGAGATTATTGATACAATCTGGTCAGAGTGAGGAGTTAAAGCATCTTTGTGGTTAGCTTTAAAAGCAAGAAGGGCAGCTCAGAATGTGATATTAGGGGAGTGTGCAGAGCGATATGGATTGTTGTATAGGTATGTTAAGGAGATAAAGAGGTTTAATCCACAAAACACAATTAAATTCAAGCTAGATAATGGTGTGTTTGAGAGGGCGTATATATGCTTTGATGCTATTATGAAAGGATTTTTAGATGGTTGTAGGCCATTCTTTGGGATTGATGGCTGTTTTTTAAAAGGTCCATTTGGAGGTCAGTTACTTGTGGCTGTTGGTAGGGATGGAAACAACCAGATGTTTCCTATTGCGTGGGCTTGTGTTAAAGTTGAAAGCACTGAGACATGGGGTTGGTTTTTACAGTTATTAGCGGATGATTTGGGAACCCCGGATGGTTTTGGATACACAATAATGTCTGATCAACAAAAAGGGTTGCTCAAAGCTATTTCAATTGTTTGGCCAAGAGCAGATACAAGGTGTTGTGCACGACATGTCTTCTGTAATTTCAGGCAAGTTTTTGGGGGTGGTCTACTATATTGAAGAGGGTTTTGGAAGATTGCCAAAAGCACAACTGAAAATGACTTCAAAAGAAACATGGAGTTATTTGCTTCTATAAATCTTCCAGCAGCAAAGGATTTATTGAAAAGAAACTACAAAAAATGGGTGAGAGCTTTTTTGACAACTACAAGTACTTGTGATAGCATAGACAACAATATGAATGAAGTTTTCAATGCATATATCTTATCATCAAGACACAAACCTATAGTCAGCATGCTAGAAGACATTAGGGAAGGTTTGATGGAAAGATTGCATAAGAAGAGAGATTTCATTCTTAATAAAGATATTGAAATATGTCCAAGGGTACAAGCTAGGTTGGAAAAGTCTAAGTTGGATGCAAGAGGTTGGTCTGCATTTTGGGATGGACATTTCACGTACGGTGTTAGGGAAGGTGCAACACAAGTTAGATGTGTTGTAAGTTTGCTTGAGAAGACATGCAGTTGTAATGCTTGGCAACTAAGTGGAATCCCTTGCAACCATGCTGTGACTGCAATTTGGAAAGCACATGAACACCCAGAGCACTATGTGTCTAAGTACTATAGCAAAACAACGTACTTAAAAGCATATGCATTCCCGTTAGAACCACTCAATGGACCCCAAGAGTGGTCTGTATCAACAAAAACACCAATTCAAGCTCCTCCCTTTAAAAAGCTTCAAAACAGACCCACCACTAAAAGAAAGCCTTCATTAGGTGAAGTTGAGGCCACCAAATTGTCAAAAAAAAGGCACATCACAGATACACAAGTGCAGCAGTTGCAGAGAACCTGGCCACAACAAAAAGAAGTGTCCTTGGCCACAACAAAATCCAACTGTCAACTACAATGTACAAAAGCAACCACAGAAAAATATGCATACTACTGCAACCCCAGCTGCTTCTAACACACAACAATCCCAGACAAGCAAAGACACTTACCCAAACGAGTATCAAAGACAATCAGTGGTAAGAACTCTTCCTGGAATGCTCTTTTATTTTTGTTCCTTTGAGAAGTAATTAATTTGCAAATTTTCTTTTACAGAGTATAATTCCACCTCAATCAAGTCATGCATTTGTACCAAGTCAGTCAAGTCATGGATCAAACACAAATCATTTAACACAACAAAATTCATTGTATAATGGACCAACAAGATTGTTCTAATTTCATTAAAATGCAAGGTAAGAAAACCATCTTCTTAATTCAATTATGCAACGTCAAATTAATGCCTAAGGAATAAATTAATACAATTTGAAATTTTTTAATTACATCTCCTGTTTGGCTGTTTCACCATTTCATACTCATGATTGTAGGTTTAAACATTGGTTTGGAAGAGCAAGAAAAGGGAATTCGAAAAAAAAAAACAGAGTAAATTGGAGATGATATGAAGAAGGCTTGCTGTTATTATTAGATGTTGGAAGTTGCGTGCTTTTGTGGATGTTGGATGCTATTGTTTTTGTTTTGAAATTTTAGATTGTGGTTTGTTATTTTAGTTTAAGGTAAAAAAATCAGGAACATAGTTAAGTCTAATTTTTGAAGTAGATATTTTTTTTTATTAAAATCTATAACTGGATTGTGGTTCACGATCTTATTTTGCTTTGGATAACTTTGTTTTTTTTTTAATTCCAATTAATGCTCAAGTTGGTTAGAAAATTTTTCAGATGGGTTAAATGACTTGAAATTTAACCACAGGTCCCAAACGGTTAAAGAAAAAAATTCGGGTCCCAAAAGGTGAAAAGTATAAAACTTTAGTCCCTAATTATTACCTTAACTCTGTTTTATGTATTTTACATATATATATATTTTCTGCTACAATTTAAGTGAAATAAATGCAATTTTTTTTTTTGTTTTTTGTTTTTTATGGGCATTATTGCCACCGGTTAACCGGTGGAAATCCTTGTTGATACCATTAAAAAAAATTGCGTATTTGTTTTTGTCACCGGTTTTGAACCGGTGGCGTTTTAATAAGATTATTGCCACCCCCCAAATGGCCACCGGTTTTGAACCGGTGGCATAGGGGGGTTTTGAACCGGTGGCCAATTCATATTTTTGCCTAATAATTAATTTAAAAATAATACTTTTATTGTAATTGAATTACTCTTATTATTGAAACATAGTTTTTCAAACGAAATTTATTAAATTAATTAAATAATAAGACAAATTAATAAAAAATTATTTTAAAATTTTTTTGAATATAGTACGTCGTATTAACAAAATTGAACATTTAATGATGCAAAATTGAACATTTACATATATAAATGAACATTGTTCAAGTGATCCGAAGCTGAAAAAACTGAAAATGACGTCTTTAGTAGGAGAGAGGGGGTGTGGTAGTGCTACCTGCATTTGGGTGTAGGCAAAAATTTGTATTTAAACCCCATCCAACTATTCAATCATTGGACCCAGATTATGGACCAAAATAAACTAGTTTAAACGTTTTTATAAAAAGGACACGGAATGAATGATTTTAAGGGACACAAAATGAATTACTTTGGGTTTAAAGGCACGAAAAGAGGAGAATAAGTTATGGTTTGGGGAAATGGGATAGAAATTGGGTTGTTTTATGAAATGCATTGGGATTTAATATGGATTTCAGCACTCCAAGATTAAACACTCAACCCGACCAATAATGGCGGTGAAAGGTTGTTCACCATCGGGTTTGGTTTTGGAGAGAATTTTTAGGTGTCTACAATCACGGACTACTTGGAGTGCTTAAGGGAAGTATGATGAAAGTATAATGATTGTGAGGAAGAAGAGAGAATTCTTGTTGTTGCCCCCAAAAAACTCACGAAATGAGCTTCATATTTATAGAAGAAATGTGAAGGAAGCAGTCCGGAATCCTAGAATGAGGCGACGTTGAAGAGAAAAGGTGTCATGACACGGCACAAGTACTGTGTCACGGTACTCAGTATACCGCGACGTGGTACTAAATTTTATCATTTCAAAAGAAGAAAATACATTAAGAAAAGGATTTGGGAGAATGTTGGTGCTGTGTCACGACACTTATCCCGTGGCGCGGTAAAGATACCTCGCCACGGACACGGTACACGTGTTGTGGCACATTATCTTGCCAGCTTTGAAAAATATTGTTTTACTTAAAACATATTTTATTTTGACAAAACACTCGATAATTATATGTCGTTTCTATCATTGCAAACTGATTTTAGGTTTAGGGTATTGTGATTTTATTAATTAGGCTCAAGGAAATGGATTAATAGTGGTTTGGGATAGAAATGAAGTTTAGACAAACATTAAAATAAATCTCTAGATTGTTTAATAAGGTGCCTATGGCGCTTCGACATCGAAAGTTAAGGACAACGAAGCTATCCTTGGTGGTTGATAGGTAGGACTTCTTGCGGATTAGGTCCAGAGAGTACAAAAGGTATTAGTGCGCTCATGTTGACTTGAGGTGTTATATTTGTGAAAATGTATTGGATCAAGTGAGGATTTTAGGCACTCAAAAGATTAATTACTCAACCCGACTAAATACTGGCGGTGAAAAGTTGCTCATCATCGGGTTTGATTTTGGGGAGACATTTTTAGGTGTCTAAAGTTACCCACATCAATTTTATTAACTTTATGTTTTTTTTTCCTCCTAAGCTTCTTAATTCCCAAATTTATAAAGCTCGACCTCCCTACATGTAACACCCCCAATTTACTAACTAATAATAAACAATAAATAAAGGAAAAATAGACAATGTTTTAATAAAATTGCGGAAGCATACACCTAAATCGGAGGTATCACCGCCACACTCAACATTCTTTTGAGTATTAAGGCTTACTAAATCCCAACTGTACAACACAATAAATCTAGGTGAGCTATTTATACAACTTTACAAACTTTTTATAACAAACTAATCCAAACACTTGAGCTCCTTTAGCTACGACCACTTGATCAACCTGTTTTGAAAAACTTGACTGCTCACTATTAAGGACAAATTCCAAAATAGATCCTCGCAAGACCACCATAAGAAAAACACATGGCCGCCAACACAAGTATCACAACAAAACAACAGACACACGTCAACAAGAACCTGAGTAATCATCACATAACAGAATACAAAGAATAATATAATAATTAACACTACTAGTAAAAAAAATGTAGTTCGAAACTACATTACACATTGTACTCTGAAAATAACCTTTATCAACTCAACCTCGAATACTAAAACAATCCCTCACTCAATTAACTCTTAACCAATTAGTATGCCATGCTCTTTGTTTTATACCTAGCCTTGGACATGGGTAATTTGATGAACAAACCAACAAGTATAAAAACTTGAATACTCTCAGTAACCAGAAAACACCTTGAACCAGACCACATACGGGCCAATTCCCACTGTAGGGGACCATAGAAAAATAAATAAATAAATATTGTATGTCATTCTCAACTCATGATTATCATCCTCTTACCAACAAGCCAAGAACTAAGTTATACAACGCCGAGCCTCAAACCAAGATCAAAATAATAATGCTCAACCTTTTGATCTCATACTTGATCAAATAACCATTCATAAGCTAGTAAATAATATCTCAATGATGGCAAATGTTCCCAAATAACATAACAATTTGATTCATAAATATCTCGACTCTTAGGGAAATAAAACTAGTACCCAAATATAATCAACTCACAACCCAAACATAATTGCATTAATAACTCTAAAACCTCAAGAACAATACTCCCTAGTCCCTATAGCAACAACATGAAAAACCCTAGAAATAATCAATCATAAACAATAAAAGTAATACGATACTCATATCCAATCAAATCATATAATACCAATAGTCAATCATACACATATAAAAACTTGATCACACAAATTACAATTATAAAATTTACACATATAATAATACATAGTACAATTAATAAACAAATTATAACCAAATAATTCTAATAATTTAATACAATCACATTATAATCAAGCAACTCTAAAATATTGATAGTGTGCTTACCTTCCGATGAAACAGATTACTCGATCCAAATTTGAACTGTATACACAAGAGACCCATTGCAAAACTACGTGTGTATACTTGACCAGACTTGAGTAGTAAGCAAAATTCACATTGGAAGGTGAAAATTATTTGATTTACATGATAAAAATAATTATATGGATGATGATACATCATAATAAAAGATTCATCAGCATGTTTGGTTTAGAAATCACACGAAAAAGTGAAGGAAAGCAATTTGGTACCTTCACGGCTAACAAGTTACGACTGTTTTTTTTTTGGGTAAAAAATATATACATAAGTATATATATAAAAATATGTAGGGTTTAAGAATATATAAATCTTATAGCTCATAAAAGAGTCGACTAAAGTAATATGAGGTTTTTAAAAAATTTATTAAATAAAAAGATATAATCTAATATATATATATAAAGGGGAGTTTTTCCCCGAGTTTTTAGAGAGCCACCTAGGATTTAATTTTCTTAGCGCGCCATGTACGATTATGAATTTAAGTAGTAGCCAATTAAATAAGAGATTATTAAATTCTTTTACAATTAAATAATTCAAATGCCACGTAAGCAAAATTAGCAAATGAAATTTTAAAGTTTAAATTAATTAAATACAAAATATTATCTTTTGATATTAGAAATTTTATCTAATATTCTAAAACTAATATAATAACAATTTTAATCACATAAATATGAAAAATATTTTTTTTAAAAAAAATACTGACAAACCGTGCATCGCACGGGCTTCATCTAGTTTAGAATATAAGAAAATTCTAATTTTTCTATTTGATAAAATTACAAAATACACGGGTATTACAATCTACCCTTCTTAAAACAAGTTTCTTCCCCGAAACTTAAAATAGAAAAATAAGATAGCTTGTAAATTTAAGAGAAATTAAAAACTAAATCAAACTATTTTTTTATAAAATATTTAGATAGAAACTAAAATATTAAGGGTATTACATACTATCCCCCTTAAAAAGGAGTTCGTCCCAAAACTCAAAGCTAGTCACATAAAAATACATAACAAGCACAAGAATAGAAAGAAACACTTTAAAACGGCTTACCTATGTCAATTTTAAACCTAAATCTTAATTAACAGGTTTATTCCTAAACCAAAACACGCTTGGATATGAAGATCCCTACGTAAATCCCACGAGCGGTTAGGCTCTGAATACCATAACACCCCCAATTTACTAACTAATAATAAACAATAAATAAAGAAAATAAGACAAACTTAAAATTGCGGAAGCATACACCTAAATCAGAGGTATCACCGCAACACTCAACAACCTATCGAGTGTTAAGGATTACGAAATCCCAACTGTACAACTCAATAAATCTAGGTGAGCTATTTATACAACTTTACAAACTTGTTATAACAAACTAATCGAAACACTTGAACTTCTTTAGCTATGACCACTTGATCAACCTGTTTAGACAAACTTGACTGCTCACCATTAAGGACAAATTCAAAAATTGATCGTCGCAGGGCCACCATAAGAAAAACACTTGGCCGCAAACACAAGTATCACAGCAAAACAACACACAGACGTCAGCAAGAAGCTGAGTAATCATTACATATCAGAATACAAAGAATAATATAATAATTAACATTACTAGATCAATAAAACAATGTAGTTCGAAACTGCATTACACATTGTACTATGAAAATAACCTTTATCAACTTAACCTCGAATATTAAAACAATCCTTCACTCAATTAACTCATAACCAATAAGTGTGCCATGCTCTTTATTTTATACCTAGCCTTGGACATGGGTAATTCGAATAACAAACCATCAAGTATAAAAACTTGAATACTCTCAATAACCAGAAAACACCTTGAACCATACTACATACGGGCCAATCCCCACTATAGGGGACCATAGAAAAA